AAGGGAAAAGATTAATTTCTGACAGCGCGGGAGCGTCCCCAAAGGCGTAGATACAAAGCAGAGGAAGATCTGGTGGCGGCAAAACACACAAACACAAAACCTTCAATTGGAGTCGACCAGAGATTTACCCTGCAGCAAAAGTGGGGCAGGATCATTCAGTGATACTCAAACTCAGAAATAATTCACATGAAAAAGTAGCAAGAAATGTTTTCCGAGCTGGAATAAAATGGAAATTAAATGATGATCATTACATATAATCCTGGATACGGCTTAACCTACCATCTTGTCCCTATATACCCTCGAAACCATAGAGAATGCAAAAGCAGAAATTATTTATGCTCCCGCTGATGGATATGTCTGAACATCGATGTGGATGTCGATGCTAATATTACAGGGAGAGTTTTCCACGCCGCGCGCTTTTCACGGTCGCATCAATCCATCAATCCAGAACACAGATCGAAGCGTAATACAATATCCCATATATAGTCGGAATACCAGAATATATCATCCACTCGGCTCTAAGGATTTCACATTGGCTCGCCATTCGGAGGAGAGGCGTCAGCACGTCTCTAGAACTAATCATGTGCCAAGAGCAGAGACACATAAAATATCGACTTGAAATTGAATTCCTTCAATTTGGGACTCTCTTCACTCTCTCTCTCTCTCTTAGTTTCGCTTCTCTGGGGATTGCTTCTTGGGGTTCCTCTTTAGTACTTCATTATGGACGCACTAACGATGTTGTTTTAATGATCTCAAAACTCGACAAAAATCCACTTGACAAAATCCACAAGAAGCATCGCAGCCAGGGCAGCTTCGTTCTTCCCATTCCCATTCGCTCCTCAAGTGCCGCAAGGGCAAAGGGCCCGATACCTAAAGAGGGGATCGAAACTATATACAAGGGAGCGGGGACCTTGTACATAAACATATGTACATATATGTATGTACATATTTATTGTGTGTATATTGTATATGCATTTTTGCACAGACACTTTATGTCTGTCTGGTGGGCTTCGAGTATGTGTGAAAAAGACCATTGAATGTCGGGCATATCTTTGGAGCCTTATTATTGGTGCGAGGCGTGAGTCGAGCTGTTGATGGGCAGGGACTATAAAAATTTTTAGAGCAGAAACAGCCATGAAATGCCATTGAAAGTTTCTGCTGAAAGATGTGAAATACGATGAGCAGGTAAATAAATATACACACAAATTATGGCCATCATGAGGAAGGTGACAAATTATACAAAATTAATTTCATAGTTTCCCCTTTAAAACGTGGGAAACACTTGTAATTTAATACTCAATTTAGAGGTTTTTTTTCTACTCCCTGAATCTCCTTCTCCCTTCTCATAACGGTACTTATCTCTTATCATCCCAAAAGCCCCTACTTATCACGATTTTCCGATTAAAGTAAAGTTTTCATAATAATTAAAATGCAAGTGCTCTGCTATGTAATTGAAGTTGTTTTCTGATCGACTTTCAATTGCTGGCTAAGCTAAAACAAGCTCACCTAATAATAGAAGAGCTTTTGACATGTGGCTATAATAGTACTTAACCTGAATGGGAATCTTGTTAACGGGGTTCGCAGGCCCCAGTACGCAGTAACTAGCATGACTCGATGCTAAATTGATTGTTGGACGACAAATGATTTGCTATGGAAAGCTCTTAGTTTTTTATACCCGTACTCAAAAAAGAGTTAAGGGGCATATTAGAATTGTGGTAAAAGTGGATGTGTGTAACGCAGAGAAGGAAACGTTTCCGACCCCATAAAGTATATATATTCTTGATCAGCATCAATAGCCGAGTCGATATAGCCATGTCTGTCTGTCTGTCCGTCTTGTTGAGCGCCTAGATCTCATGGGATATCACACTGCTACAAGTGAATTTCAAAATTTCGCCCCGCCCCCTTCCGCCACCACAAAGGACGAAAATCTGTGGCAGGCACATTTTTAAAGATATGATAAAACTGAAAACGCAGAACCGTAGGGAATGACCATATCTACCAGACTGCCGAATCTGAATCAGATCGGATCATAATTATAGCCAGAATGAAGAAATTTAATTTTCAGTTGCTTCCTCCGCCTCCCCAGCCAGAGACACGCTACTAATTCTCTTTCTCGTTCGCTTACTCTGCCGCGTTCAGTGCGCGAGGAGATGTAGAATCTAAATGGTACATATAAAATCTACATGTTAGATGTATAATATACATTATAGATGTAGATAACAGATGTAGCAAAAAAATGTAAATTGTAAAAATTTTTTTTTTTATTCTAAAATTCTAAAAAATCATATGCTCAAAAATGTATATACTGACTGAGTACGGGTATAAGTAGAGTCGCGTCCCCAGAAGCGACTCGCACGTTCCTTCTCGTTATGACTGGAATTAATAGTAGAGTCAGTCATAGCGTGTGTGATCAGCATCAATAGTCGTTTATCTATCCGTTTTCATTCTTCAAAGTTCTCAAAGATACGTATACGTTTTCTGAACAGTTAAGACAGCTTAAATAACTTCTATTTGATATTGGTAAATGTTGAGCCGCTTTACAGTGCTTTAGATATGGAAAACATTCACCACAACGTTTAAATTATTGTGCAACACCCAATTGACCCAGTTCCCCCGCCCACTACATCTACCCCTCACTTAAAGCCAACTGCATTGCTGTATCTCTCCTAGCCGCCAGTACGCTTCCTAACGCTCTCTTTCGTGGCTGTTTAAAACAATTTAGCTTAGTCATGGAAAACGATCTGAGCTGGGAAAATCATCATGCAAAACGACATGTAATAAACAGTCTGTGCTGCACTTGTTGCCGGAGGGGCATGTGCAGGGGTAGAATGAGGACAGGGCAGTGGTAACGCATCAATTCCTCAGACTTCTTTAGAGGGGAATAAATGTAAAGGCAGAGACAGAAAAAGAATCAGAGACAGAGACAGAAGCAAAGACATCAGCACAGTGAAACAAGCAAGGAAGCCCAGCCAATGCCAACAGAGTCGAAGCTTTAAATACTCTCCAAACAGGCAGAACTTCACATGTAAATACACCGCCAAAGAGGGTCTTAGAAAGGTCGTACGCTCTAAGGTGTTTCGATTTCCCAGTGTATGCATATACCCCCCTTCTGAAGGGCATACAAAAGAGAGTCCAAAGCGAAACACGTGTTTTGAATTAAATGCCTGTCCTCTTTCCTCACTCTTTGGACCCCCTTTTCCCAGCGCTTGCCATTCCTTCATCTGCCGAATGGTTGGCGTACTTCTCCGTCGCCCATTAGAAGCGCATTCTTGACGCAGCGGCGCTGTGTGGTTGTTGACACGTTGATGGCCAAAAGGGAAACCCGCATAAAAGAGCAAATTCCATGTTACATGCGGAATAATCACGTGCAAACCACAATCTCAGAATCAAAACCGACAATTTCAGCTTAATAACAATGCAAAAAAAAATAAAACACACCACCACACAGACACACACTCAGACACACCTGCCTCACCTGGTTTACCTGTGTGGCTTTGTTTCTGACTTAAACTCAGGTGCAGAGCTTACTGCCCCGACCCGAAGCGAGCTTCGTGCGCTGCTGGCGACCTGTTGACGCTGGCAGAGCTTCAGCTACAGGCTGCGGACCGGCTGCTGTCAGGTTTTTTGGGGCGCAGTTGATGAACGAAGCTGCTGGCCGAAAGACGCGACCGGCTTTAAGCTCCCATAACTCCACAACAATTCCAATTCCGAACTCTATCCGAACGAACCCCTGGCTGATGTTCTACCAAGTGCGTGCCGTGAATCAATCAAGCGTAATCAAGTGCTTAACAATTTCATACGCAATTTCCATCTCTCATCTTATACTCGGACGATACGCGATCCCCGATAACTCAATGATAACTTAATCCCCAGAGCAGTACGAGATGTGAGGGAACCCACAAGCAAAAGCAAACATATGCATACATATGTACTTATGTACATACATATGTGTGCATGTATTTGTAACAAAAGAAAGGAGAAGAAGATTTGAGTGAAAGTGATGAAGCGTCGCGCAGCTTCAACCGCATCCGCGTCTCAGGCGCTTGATGAGGTTGGTCTCTTAATGATGTCTGCCGATGTGTGCCACCAGCAAAACCAGAGACAAACACTAAGACCAACCACCAACCACAACACTTAATTTTTGCATACTGCAAATGTTGTAAAAGCAAAAAAAAAAAAAACCAAAAACTAATTTACAACCTGAGGACTGAAATTTATGTTTTGAGTCCAACAGAAAGTGAGAGAGTAATATGTTTATGCTGTGCTGCGAAATGCTCAAGATGAACAAAGCAAAAGGAGAGGGTAAAATACTTATTGCCATCAATTGAACGAGCCACTTTTGATTTGTTTTTTAAATTGATATCCAATCAGAGAGCAATCCAATCCAACTAACCCATTCAAAATCAAGGTTTTTTGTAGAGTTTTGTTATCTGTTTTGTTCACTGAAGAATGCAGCTTTATTTTGTATAATCTTTTAAGAATCTGTAGACCTTTAATTCCTCCTAAATATCTTTCATTGATAGCTTTAAGCTTCAACTTCCTCTTTGAATGCAACCGCCTGCTTCGGACAATCGTTTTACTTCCTAAATAATAAACGTGGTTTAATTGTCTCTGACATTAAGCATGGCTTTACCACCCATTAACGGGTTTTATTAGACAGCTTAAGCGTAAATTTTAGCGTACTCTGCGATTGGACGCACATAAGCAAGCAGAGCAGACCCCAAAACTCACCTTGAAAGCACTTACTCACACACACACACACACACACCACAACAACAGACAAGTATAGATACACTCAAAACAAAAGCGTCAGCAGCATCAGTCAGCCTCAAAAAAAAAAAAAAACAAAGCCAATTTTTCTTCATCTTCTTTCTTTTGTGTCACAGTTGCACTACAATTGTGACTTCCACCCACATCTCCTCCCGCTCCCCATTTCACCATCGCCAGCTATCGCTCACCTCTATTCTCTTTTTGTCTCCCTCCCCCCTCCTCCTGCCGACTGTGTCTGTGTCGCCTAATTACCTATCATTTGGCTGCGAAAGTAACCAACAGAAGCGATAGAAACAACAACAGAGCGAAACTCCAAAGCTGCTAATCCCATCCACATACTGGCAACAGCCACTGTAAATGTGCTGCTAAAATCGACACCATGTGCACCGCTCCCGCTGATGATGGGGCTGCAAAAGCTACTATTGATGCTGCTGGCCCCAGCCATGGCTCGACGGCCTTGAACTCCACCCAGGTAAATACCACTTACAAAAGATACACACACATACACATATCCATACTAGTATTTATTGTAGTTAAAATAGTGGTTAACATATTTTCGGTTTTCGCTTGATTTGTTATGTGATTCAGTTGGCTTGGGGCCGCCACCTTATCTGACGACAATAATACTCGCGTTGCCATTAAAGCTACTAAAATCAAAAACCAGCACGGTGGCCGAATTATTGGATACCCTTTCATAAATATGAGTATGAGTATCGTATATTAAACCAATTTCACATGAGTTTAAAATCGTTTTCATCGGAAAACTAAATATTACTCCCAGAAAAACTCTGCACACGACCTGTAAAGATAGTTCATCCATATCTGGCAGTATGGTCAAACATCTGATTAAAATGATAGTCCCCCAATTCAAAGAGTACAACAAGATCTCAAACTGAAACTCAAACCAGTTTATTGGTGGCTGCTGCTGGTCATAACCGGGACTAGGTCTGGGTCTTGTTTGGGGTCTTTTTTTATCAGGTTTAAGTGGAAATATTATTGCATCTTGACGAAGTCTTATTGGAGTGTACTTTTGGCGCGTAAACGAACTTGAAAGTCAAGATCACGGCAACTGAAAGTCGTAGTAAATGTAGAAAGGCTTAAAAAAATGGTACAACACGTTCAAAGAAGCTTTTCCCCAGTGACATCATTACCGTTGAACATGTCAGAACCAACCTGCCTTAACAAAAAATGTCAAAACCTTATCGATGCTGAACAAATCAAACGAACAATTCAAGCGTAAGAAGAGTCGAAAAAGTTTAGCAAAGATTTGCCTAAAATGATGACAGGCACCGACAGCGACCCCCTGGTGGAAGAGGGCGGTCTGGCCGCCGCTCAACAGCGCCTGACCATCTGGCACAAGGTAAGGGGAATTCCCTTATAAGCACACCCCCGCTATAAGACCCAATCTTAGATGCTATTCTTTATGCTGGGCCTGATCTCCGCTCTGACTATTTGCGTTTTGATACGGCTATCCAACAAATTGACTGCCGAGGCTGAGCACAAAGCTGTGATGCACTTCAGGGAGCTATCCTCGGGTCGTAATGGTCATAAAATCGGATACTAGTATCCACACATCATCATACTTACATACATACTCGCATAGTGTTTCTGTGTTTATAATTCATTTGTCTTGTTTTGCAAATTGCTTAAATAAAGTGCTAAATGATGGATGCGGACTACCTGTCCTATTGTGAAGTGCAAACAAAACAGCAACCAATTAGCAGAAGATCAGGAAAAGCTTTGAAGAAACTCCAGATGGGCGGAGCGGGGGGCCAGTGAAAGATTGAGTGGATCATTAGTTGGTGGCAGGAGATACTACGTTCAACGTATACGCGACGTATGAGTGATATATTAAGAGTCTTTCGTGTGCTGCTTTAGGTCTCCATAGCCATAGATCCCAATCAGGGTCCGGAGCAACAAAAGAAGTGCAACTGGCGATGCTGCCTTCAGTGGATAATGGTTCCCGTCCTGTCGGTAGGAACAGCGCTGCTCTGGTATTACCTAGGAGCTTGGTGGGGATTGGCGGCTCTCTATGGCAGCGTGATAGCAACACTCCTGGTGCGGCCTGGCTTTAGATGGTTCTACATAGCGGCGGTGACAGGTCCTCGCGACACTGTGTAAGCTCTTTGCGTTGCACATACCCCCGCACACGAATCTCAATCGAGACTATTTTCCTTTTAGCGCTGTCATTGCGTACATTCGAGTGCTGATGTTTGTGAAGCGACAGCAGCGCAAGAACCTCAACATTGGCGACATTTTCGAGGCAAGTGTGGCTCGGCACCCGGACAAGCTGGCAATCGTGAGCGAGTCCCAGCAGTGGACATTCCGACAGCTGAACGAGCACTCGAACCGTGTGGCCAACGTCTTCCACAGTCACGGCTACAAAAAGGGCGATGTGGTGGGCCTGCTGCTCGAGAATCGGGCCGAGTTTGTGGCCACCTGGCTGGGTCTCTCAAAGATAGGTGTTATTACTCCCCTCATTAACACGAATCTGCGCGGAGCCTCGCTCCAGCACAGCATCACTGTGGGCCAGTGCACGGCCTTGATTTACGGCGCTAGCTTCCGAGCGGCCGTGATGGACATTGCGAAGGACCTGCCCGCCCATGTCGGACTCTACCAGTTCAACGATGAGGGCAGCCAGGCCCATGCTACTGACGAGGGCTTGAGTCAGGGTCTGGCCCAGCAATTAAACGGACTGCTGGACACGGCCGCCAAAGATAAAGTGGCCGCAGGCGCCACTCGAGCGGATCACCACGACAAACTGGTCTACATCTACACCTCTGGCACCACGGGTCTACCCAAGGCAGCGGTAATCACACACTCGCGGTGCGTATTTCATTCTCCTGATCCTCCAAGGATGCTTAACATTTCCCGTTGATTCTTTTAATCGTTTTAGCTACTTCTTCATTGCCGCCGGCATCCACTATGCCCTAGGTTTTAGGGACCAGGATGTGTTCTATACACCCCTTCCTCTCTATCACACTGCTGGCGGAGTGATGAGCATGGGCCAGGCCCTGCTGTTTGGCTCGACGGTGGTCATACGCAAGAAATTCAGTGCCTCTGGCTACTTTGCCGACTGCGCACGCTTCCAGTGTACCGTAAGTGCAGTGATTTACATGATAGCCGCTTCGCTTCTCATCCATTCCATCTCCGACAGATTGGCCAGTACATTGGTGAGATGGCCCGCTATATATTGTCGACACCAGCGGCAGCACATGACCGAAAGCATCAGGTGCGCATGGTCTTTGGAAACGGCCTGCGTCCACAGATCTGGCCGCATTTCGTCGAGCGCTTTGGCATCCAGCGCGTCGGTGAGTTTTATGGAGCCACCGAGGGCAACGCCAACATTATGAACAACGACAGCACGGTCGGAGCCATCGGCTTCGTTTCACGCATTCTGCCGCAGGTCTATCCCATATCCATCATACGAGCCGATCCCCACACGGGCGAGCCGCTGCGAAACAAGAAGGGTCTCTGCGAGCGATGCGAGCCCAACGAGACGGGCGTCTTTATTGGGAAAATTGTGAAGGGCAATCCCTGCCGGGAGTTCCTCGGCTATGTGGACACGAAGGCCTCCTCCAAAAAGGTGGTGCACGATGTCTTTTCCAAGGGCGATATGGCCTTTATCTCTGGCGACCTGCTGGTGTCCGATGAGCGGGGCTATCTCTACTTTAAGGATCGCACCGGCGACACCTTCCGCTGGAAGGGCGAGAACGTCTCAACTAGCGAGGTGGAGGCACAGCTTAGTAACCTGACCGGCTACAAGGATGTCATCGTGTATGGGGTCAGTATACCAAATACCGAGGGCCGGGCCGGCATGGCCGCCATTTACGATCCCACGCGAGAGGTGAAGGTGGAGGTGCTCGGCCAGGAGCTCACCAAGGCTCTGCCCAGCTATGCACGCCCTCAGTTCCTGCGATTCCTCCGGAAGATCGATCTGACGGGCACGTTCAAGCTGCGAAAGGTGGAACTACAGCAGCAGGGCTTCGATCCGGCGGCCATCGAGGATGAGTTGTTCTATGCAGGATCCGATGGTGTCTACGCCCCGCTTACACAGTCCGTCTACGAGCGGATTCAGCGCAACGAGATGCGCTTCTAGGTACTGGAGCAGGTTAATTCTCCATGGTTGAGCTAAGACTGTGCCCACTCATAATCGAAGTTAGGGCCAATACCACCACTCTCGATGCGAAAGAGAAGGCATTACCCGAGTTATAATCTTTGTCTATCTGTTAGGTTTAATTTGGTAGAAGTGTTACTGTGTTTATTGTGCTAACATTAAATAATGATAAAAGGAAACTTACAATGGAAAGAGCATCTTGCAGCTACTCTCCCCCAGCAAATCCGAGCAGTTTAAATCGAGCGGATATGGGTATAGACGGAGAGTAGCTCGAAAATCTTATGTAAATACTTTCAGCAGTCTCGCATGGATGTGCTCAGTCATCAGTCCGTGGGCGGCACATCTTTGTTGAGATCACTCTTCTTCTTCTGCTCCAAACGCTGCTCCACCTGATCCAGACGCTCGCTCATGGCGTCCAGCGAGGTGAGCAGACCCTCCTGGATCTCCCCGTACCGCTTCATGGCCAATATGAGGCTCTCTTCAATCAATTCGCTCTGCTGTGCGTACTCCCCGTTGTTCTGAGTGACCTGCTTCAGCTGATCCAGACACTCGCTGGGTATGCTGCGGAAGTATTCAGCGCCCAGGGCTGGCTCCAGCTGCTTTATCCGCTCCAGCTGCTCGGCCTGGGTGTGCAGCTCGGGCGCTACCGCATTTAGGTAAACTTCTTTGGAGCGCACCTGCTGGTGCTCGTCCAGAAAGTTGGGGTCCAAATACTTCTCCAGCTCACCAGCCCGACCCACGCACTGCTGCAGCTGTGCGCGTCCTGTGGTCGCCTCACTGAGCAGTGCGTTGGCAGAACAAAGAGAGTCCACTATGCCCTCGTCGGTGTCCGCCTCCCGCACAGGTCCCAGGACTCGGGTCAGGGCATCGATGCGCTTCTCCAGTATGTCCAGTGCGTCCATTTTCAATGTTTTCTTTATTGTTTTCCCTTTGATATGATGTCACTTGTGCTAGAGATGTTTATATATTGATATATCAATATATCGATAGTAAGTATGTATTTATTTGTAAACCATCGCACATCGTGCACATACATATCGACATGTGTTTCTTGGCGATTTACTCCGCCACTTTTCATCTTAAATGCAACAAAATATCGATACTTTTGTGCGATAGGCGGAACTGTTTACTTTTTATTTTAAAAACAAAACAAAACTTTTGTAATTATAAAGATTAAGTCACGGATAACCATTGAAATGAAATGAAACTACTATTATTGTACAATTAAATTAAACATTCGGTTACAACTTGAAATTCTCTAAAGACAACGACTCCGCATCCTTGTTGATTTGCGCCAGACTGTCCTCGGATATGATGCGAACCACATCGGCATCGGGCTCATCTCCCGTTGAATCGTCCAGCACACACAACAGGCCATCGTTTTCCATGTACGGAAAGAAGAACTCTGGCTTGTCCCAGCTGGATCGCTCGCCGATGCCGCAATGCGACTCCTGAGCCATGTGTTCGGTTAGCAAGTCGAGCTCATCAAAATGGAGGTCACAGCTAATGCAGCGACGCATGCACAGCTGGCGGCGTACATAGTTGACCACCTTGACACGCTGATAGAAGTTCAGTGCACTGGTGGCAACATCGAAATCCAAGCTATGGGCATCGATCATGTGCTCTTTAAGGCCAGCAAAGTGTTCGCCGAGGTGCGGACAGTAGAGACACTTGAGTGAATGTGGCTCGCCATCACCGGCCCAGTCCGACCAGTCTGAATCATGCTCCCCCTCCGAGTCTGGACGAGCAAAGTGCTTATCAAAATCCACGCTGATATTTTCCACGTCTGCGGGTACGGATCCGGAGGTCTGTCGTCGTTTCCGGTGCTGCTGCTTTCGAGGTGTGGGCACCGGCGCGCGATTGTAATTGATTAGGAAGTACTTGTCGTACTCCTGGCGATTGGGATTGATGCGCTTGTGTCCCTTCTTGCGCATATGCTCCTTCAGCGTGGTTCGATCCTTAAAGATCTTCTCGCAGTACAGGCAAACCAATTGGTTCAAGTTGGCTTCCAGCTGGTCTAGCAGCTCATCGACGTAGACCAACTTCTCGGGCTTGCCCACCAGCAGAAAGTGCTTGTCAAACAAATGATCCAAATAGTCGGCCCTGAGGCCCTTGATCACGGTTCTGCAGAAAAGACACTCCTTCGAAAAGTTGCGGTCCGTCAGCTCAAAATGGTGGCGCTCTAGGGCGGTTTTCAGTCGTTGTTCCCGCAGTCGCTTGCGCAGCTCGTAGTCTTGCGGCAGTATATCACAGAGCAAATAGTATTTCTCATTTCTTGCATATGTTCCATCGGGCAGCTGATCCAGAAACATTGTCGTGCAGTATTGCTCGAATTCATGGCCTGAAAAAAACCGAATTGCATAAGGGGATCACTGAAACGCCATTATAGGCGCTCACCATGAAACTCCTTTTCCCAGTATTGCAAGTAATCCTCCAGTAGAGCGATGTCCTCCACATCAGCGATCACCAGGCGATGCTCAAGATACAGATGCGCCAGGCAGTCGTCTTTGTCGGCGGGAAAAATGTACACCTTGTCGCATTTCAGGCACTTTATAGCCGTGTTTGCCGACGGTTTCAGCGCAACGCTGCATTTGATTTCCACTTGGGGTGCAACGTCTTCCGAATCGGTATCCACCGCGTGCTCCATTTTTTAATTACAAAAACAAAACAATAACATAAACATTATATTTCAATATATCGATATATCGACTGGCGAAAATATTTTTTAGTGGGTACTTATCGGTACTTTTGTGCGATAAGTGGAAATAATTTTTCGTATTTTTTTTTTTAAGTTTTCTTCAGTGAAAAGTCTATGATATGGCTACCGTTATAATTCGATTTCAACCGTTTCGACAAGATTTGACTGCGTTTCTATTTCTTTTTCTAGGCCAAAATTTCGGTAACTATAATGTTTGATACAATACTACATACAAAATTATAAAATTTAAAACAAAAAATGTCGTTTCTATTATTTTTCAATGACTGCAGTATTTTCATGTTTATATTAGTATTAATATTTCTATAGATATTCATTTTATACGAGTACAAGTACGAGTACTCATTATTTTATTCCTCTACATCAACCAGTTGTTCTTTATCAAGTTCCCTATTGTATTCCGAAAGGTAAATATGACGCTAATCTCGCAATTGAGAAACGTATCAAGATCGGTGGATAAAAACAAGTCTCTGTGGCACCTATTCCGGAACTTATTTTTCCAAGCCCAAACGTCAACCACTCTGTATTTGCGGGCCTTCATATAGATCTTACGTGGCATAAATATAAGCCTAGCGTAAAGAGGTTGCCAGGCAATATAAAAAGGAGATTCTCGTCTGCACACTGTCCCTATTTTGGCATCGTCCGGATAGTAATTAACGATTGGATTCGACGCCATTCGAATACGGGGAATCCTACTGTGCTGTAGAACCGCCAGTCGCGTGTCCATCCATATGTCGTAATCCATTTGCTTAAGCGTGTTTTTAATCGCTCTCCACGGATTGTTTCCGCGTCCATAAGTCCGCGCAAGGGGTATCGTCAGCTCTTTCTGATACATACTGTTTTTATTGGTGGCCATGCGAGGGTTCACCATCCTCGATGCTTTGTGCTTTTTGTTTCTTTTGAAAAAATCGGACACTGTCAACCCGAGCAGACGCATTCCCATCGCAGGAGGGTGCCCCTGCCCCACCCCAATGATGTTGCCGCCAGTGGAGCTGCTCATCTTCTCCATCTTTTCATGTGAATTGTTGGTTTGGGCTCGAGTTTGAGGTTCGGTTTCTGTGGTTGTTGTGCTGACGCTGATGGTTGCTTCTTTACTTTTGGTCTCTGGTGTCCCTCTCTGGGTTTCTTCTAGTCTCCTCTGGTGTTCCACTGTGCTCGTGCTTTGAGGTTTCTCTGGGCCACTTCTTTGGTGTTCCTCTGGGTTACTTATCTGGGGTTCTGCTGGGCGAACCAGCAGCGGTTCCGCTGGGATACTTTTCTGGAACTCTTCTGGGATACTTCTCTGGAAAAGCTCTGGTATCCTTTGCGTTGCCTCTGGAATCCCTCTTTGGGGTCCTTCTGGTCTCCTTTGGGTTTCCTCTGGACTAATTCTTTGGAGTTCCACAGGGCTACTTCTCTGGGATTCATCTGGTCCCATTTGGGGTAACTCTGGTCTGCTCGGGGGTCTATCTGGCATCGCAGGGTACGTGATCATAACAGCATATTCGATTATGTCCGAAGATACCTCTAAAGGACTGGTTCGAATGTCGGTCCATTCAGATTTAGAAGGCTCTACCTCTATAGACTGAGAAATTGGCGCCGCTTTGAGGACTTGGAAATGGATCATCAGCTGCGTTTGTGGATACGGGTTCGGCATTACATTTAATGGCTCAGAAAGTAACACACAAAGAAACCCGAAAAACTTACTCTAATCAGAAAACCCATCCATAAAATGGAGGACACACGTATCGGATACATTTTCACTTGGAATTTCATTACTGAGGGTATTACAATGCAAGAAAAACCACAACGAAACGAAATAAACAAAAATAAATGTTTCACAAATAATTTGCACGAATAAAACGGGGTAAATATTTTACTGACTTCCCTTTAGATTTTAAATTAGAAATTAAATTAGATTTTGAAGAAATGGAAGAGCATACTATGTCGGATTTCTTCTTTTTTAATTTCTAAAATAATATTGACTCGATTAAAAAATTGCTTAGGACATGTCCTCTCGTCTTCGCCATTTCGTTTCATATTTTCATGCAAAATGACGATAATAGAGAGTTTTCTTTATATTATTGTTGTTGTTTAGCCTGCCCACCGCTGGTTTCAACCACAAAAATTCCATTCGAATCCATTCATTCAATCCAATCTTCCACTAGGTAGCAGATTTTTGGCGGCATATAATGAGTAAAATGAGTATCCACTGCTTCCTAAGCTTCTACAGCCCATTTATGCGAAAACAAGAAGACGCCTGAGGACGACCAGTGAAGAGGTCAGAGCAGCCTTATCAACGATTACTCCAGATTTCGACAGACTGTGCTCTTTTCATGTTAGCTATACTGATTTCTTTAGTAATACAAAAAATAAATAAATTTCTTGATTTTATAGTTTGCGGAACACGTTCGTAGAGAATGACCATATCTAACAGAAGATTGCCGAATCTAGTTCAGATCGGATCATTATTAAGCCAAAATGAAGTAATTCATTTTCAGTCGTTAGACTTTCAGCGATGCAGCGCTACTCATTCACTCTCTCTCTCTGCATTGCCTCGTGCTTGCTGTCCAACCTGCTATCCTGAGAAATGAAAGCGGATACCGTTCTTAATGCAGTAATACTAAGTAAGTACATTGGAAACGCAGGTGTGTGCTCACCCAGCTGCAGAAATTTACTTCATTATTGACTATAAAAGGCACTCCCAACTCCAGGCCTCATCCATTGTTCATTATTCACCCTTCAAAGTGAGAGTCCAATACAGTCATGTCTGTGCTTATGGCTTTTATCAGTAACATCCCTCTCCTGATCGTTCTCGCGACCTCCGCGAACTTGATGACTGTTCATCGACGTCCGTGGCCACCTATTGAGCGAAATAGGTGTCTAGTTGACAAAGGACAAATGATGTGGAAGGACGTTAACACAATGTGGCAAGCAGACACCTTATGTGGTATCTGGTCATGCGATGATACGTGGGACTCTTATGGCGCTAATTCTGTAATTTTAAATTTGTAATTATCCACAATGAACCTACAGAATTTGTTCTGCTTATCTTCGAAATATCAAATCCATTTTATGATTTAGCTGCCAAATTCCTGCTACGTTCCAGGAATGCGAGGATACTGTTGTAGACACGACAATTGATTTTCCACAGTGCTGTTGGACATGTGTCACTTTTAACGAAAAATGCGCCAGCGACGAATAGAATTATCCAGGTGTCGTAGGAGGAGAAAAATCTATTTATAAGTGCACGTAAAAATCTCCTATAATTATTTTATTTCACCGCGCAAACAAACAAACTTTATTTTCAATATAGTGTCAAATATTAATTTGATTTTAATCAACAACAAAATGTCCACATACCACACCAGAATGGAGTCTTCACCACCCAACTGCTAGAGCAACTGGGTTAGGCGGCAAGCTACGGAAAACTCATGCAACATGGAGACGGTCACTGGAAGGCCATAAGTACCATGAAATTATGTACGAGTAAAATCAAATAAATAAAAAATAAAAAATAAATATGCATGAACCGCGAATTGAGAGTAGTTTTGAAGTAGAGTAGTAAAGGGGAAACCTTTTGCTATGTGGCCTCTACATTGGGCTTGGCAGGAGCATCGTTCCAGGGCTGTACTTCGGCCTTGCCAAAAATCACAAACAGCCCATTGCCCACCAGATAGAAGCCGGCGGCAATAAAGAAGACGATGCGCCACTGGTCTGGATCTTTCTGTGAGACAAAACGATTAAGTCAAAATATTAATTGGACGTCGATTGGCGGTTGTATAACCGTTTGACTCACCTCATTTGTGACAATAAAACCAACCACCAGCGGTGCGATTATGCTCATTATATTGGCCACGCAGTTGGTGATGCCCATCAGGATGCCGGCAAAGTTCGGCGACAGATCCAGGTGGTTCATGTTGAAGCCCAGGTAAGTGGCGCCGCTCATTCCGACGGTGAAGCAGAGCAGGACCACGGCAAGGGTGGACTGGTTGGGCCGCACATAGCCCAGACCGACGATTGTGATCATGGGGATCCAGAGGCCTATCGTGTTGAACAGCTTGCGACTGTTCCCGTGGAGACGCAGTTGCGGTTGTTCAACTGCGCGGATATGGCTGAGAAGACGAAGGACATGAAGAACATGCACACGTAGGGAAGGGACGAGAGCAGGGCATTCGACTTGATGTCCTTGCCCAGGACGCTCTTCATGTAGCTGGGAATCTGTGTCAGGAGTGTCCAGAAGCCCCAGTTGAAGACGCTGTGCGAAACAATTAGTACCAGAAACGGTGCCGAGGTGAAGAACCTGAGCCAAGGGGTCCGAAGCTGCGTACTGCTCACTTGGCCAGCCTGCGCCACTTCAATCAACCATCCCTCCTCCAGCGTAATTCTTTTGTACTGCGACGGAGAGCTGGCGCCACAAATGAAATACACGATCGCCCATAGTATACCGAAAGCACCCGAGACGTAGAAGATACTTGGCCACCCACCCGACGAGGCGGCCAGCAGTCCACTGGAGGCCAGCATGATGATCGTGCCAAATGCATTGCCTGCATAGGCGCACGTGCCGAGTGTGGCCCGCTCCTTGGGCAGCATCCACTTGGACAGGATGGTGTGCACAGAGGGGAAGACCACGCCCTGGCATAGACCACACGCCACACGCAGGGCGCACACCAATTGCCAGCCACCCAGCTGGGCGCAAAGGGGCGTGAGGATGGTAAGCACCGAGCAGATGGTGATGCCGGACAGGAACATCACTTTGCCACCAAATTTCTTGGCCAGCTCTCCCGCCGGCACCTGGGTGACCACATAGCCCCAGAAGAAACTGCTCAGCAGCAGGGCTTTTATCTTCTCCGACCAGTCATATTCCTATTAAGCAGATGGTCATGGGCATGGGCATGGGCTCGCACGAAGTGAGGGCTTACTTACTGGAAAGTCCGGATGCACGGATGCCGAATCTGTCATGGCCACCACTGCCACGGATAGGTTGACGCGGAGGGCGTAGGTGGCCGACAGGCCCCAAAAGATCAGAACCACCTGCCAATGACGCACTCCTAGTCCTGCAAAACCAAAGGATTCAACACATACGCCAAGAAAGTGTTAGGAGCCGTATTTTCACCTGTCATATTTAAAACTTTTGCCGATAAACTACGAGCAGGGTCTGACACGTAGATGTCAAGGCCCACTGGTCGGGTCGGTTGGGAATTAAACACTCTTGTGGTTTTCTTTTCACATGCTGTAGCTGTCGCTGTAGCTCTATACAGATGCAGCACACATACACTATTATTATTATTATTATTATTTTCGCTTCACACTGTGAGTGGCCTTACATAATTAGTCGCTACAACTAAACCTAAGACGAGGGTAACATAACACGAATACAGAGTACAGAGTACGGAGTACAGCAAATAATAGTCTACAAATATATAGTACAAATATATACAATGCACACGGAGCGCGAATTAGTTTGGACAATGCGAAAATGCATTGTATGGCGCTCCGCTTCATTACAGTTAGGATTGACAGTTGGCCGACCATCGGATCGGATCATTTTTTGGTGGAAAACAGAACTAGATGACTAGCGGTTTCTCTTCACATTTCACTAAATTCGTCAGAGTTAGTGCTGCGACTCCACCTGAGCCGTGGAATTGCGCCTGGGCTTCGCTGGGGGATCGTTCCAGGGCTGCACCTCGGCCTTGCCGAAGATCACGAACAGCCCATTGCCCACCAGATAGAAGCCGGCGGCAATAAAGAATACGATACGCCACAGATCGGGATCTTTCTGTAAAGCACAAAGTAAAATCCGAATCAGTAAGTGGAGCTAACAGATGTAACCGATTAACTCACCTCATCGGTGACAATGACACCAACGAGCAGCGGGGCGATTATGCTCATTATATTGGCCACGCAGTTGGTGATGCCCATCAGGATGCCGGCAAAGTTCGGCGACAGATCGATGTGGTTCATGTTGAAGCCCAGGTAAGTGGCGCCGTTGGTGCCCACGGTGAAGCAGAGCAGCACCACGGCCAAGGAGGCCTGGTCCGCGCGCGTATAGCCCAGACCGATGAGCGTGAGCATGGGGATCCAGGTGCCAATCGTGTTGAACAGCTTGCGGCTGGCTCCCGTGGAGACGCAGTTGCGGTTGTTTAACTGCGCGGATATGGCTGAGAAGACGAAGGACATGCCGAACATGCAGACGTAGGGAAGCGCCGAGAGCAGGGCGTTCGACTTGATGTCCTTGCCCAGGATGTTCTTCATGTAGCTGGGGATCTCGGTGAGCAGGGTCCAGAAGCCCCAATTGTGAGTGGAGTGTGCCACGATCAGGACCAGGAATGCGGGCGATGTGAACATGCTCAGCCACGGTGTAGGGGGCTGCACCTTGGGCTGATCCTCTCCGGCGCTCACTTCGCCGGCCTGTGCCATTTCGATCAGTTTCCGCTCCTCTGACGAGACGCTCTTGCACTCCGACGGCGAGCTGGCGCCCCAAAGGAAGTACGTGATCGCCCAAACACATCCGACTCCGCCGGAGATGTAGAAGATGCTGGGCCACCCAGCCGATGAGGCGGCCAGCAGTCCACTGGTGGCCAGCATGATGATCGTGCCAAACTGATTTCCCGCATAGGCGCACGTGCCGAGCGTGGCGCGCTCCTTGGGCAGCATCCACTTGGACAGGATGGTGTGCACGGATGGGAAGACCACGCCCTGGCACAGACCCTCGACCACACGCAGGGCGCACACCAACTGCCAGCCACCCAGCTTGGCGCAGAGCGGCGTAAGGATGTTCAGCACCGAGCAGATGGTCAGTCCTGAAAGGATCATCACTTTGCCACCGAATTTCTTGGCCAGCTGTCCGGCCGGCACCTGGGTGACCACATAGCCCCAGAAGAAGCTGCTCAGCAGCAGGGATTTTATCTTATCCGACCAGTTGTACTCCTAGAAGGCAAAGACGTTAGATTGGGGCTCGAATTTAGAGTTTGCAGTGAGATTTACTTACGGGAAAATCTGGATTCGCGGAGGCGGAATCGAGCATGGCCACCACGGCCACGGATAGGTTGACGCGCTGGGCATAGGCCACGGTCAGGGCGCAGAAGAGCAGAAAGACCTGGAAGTGTCGTACCCCCAGACCGGAATCTGCAATCAAACGTAATCGGTTAGGCGGTACGGCTAGGTGGGGTTGGGTAATCTGAAACCAAATCGAGTGAGCACTCCACTCAGTTCAATCAATCGATTGGCTATCAGCTATTGACCGCGCTATCTGTGGAGTGGCTCCGGATGGGTTTTCATATTTCTGTAGAAGGCTGTAGGTCGCCTGTAGGTCGCTTGCATGCTGAAGTCTGTCCAAGATTTGGAATCGCTTTTGCGTTTCCGACCCACCCAAACTGGCTACAGCTGGAAATTGATTTACGGCGGACACTGTGCAAGCTCTACTGTGCACCCCCTCCCCTTTTTTCGGGTTTATTTCTTTCTCCTGTGATTGCCGTAATTTAACTCAAATTTACCATTCCTTATCTAGCAGACAACTGTGGAGATATACAATACATAAGTCCATTTGGCTATTTGCCTTTCTATTTGCGGTTTTGGGGTGCTTCTGGTTTCGGGTTCGTGTACGGATTACGCGCGCGGATTCTTGCGGGAAAAATTCCATTCATGGGAATGGCGCCGAATCGGCGACGGCTGGGACCCCCATCTCCTTATGTACACTCTGCCAACAGTTGAATTTATCCGGCCACCATCTGCCTTCATGTATGTCTAACTATTACTTTGTTGGCTTAATCTCAAGTGCGTTTGGCTATGATTATTGTGGCTATCAGTGGGCCGTAGAGCCGCAATTACAAATGCTTTTGTGTACGGATTTTAGGTGTAAGCACCAGGATTTTCCAGCAATAAAACACACCCACTTTTCGTTCTTTCGATTGGATCGCGGGGGCTCGTCTTCTGTGGATATTCTTATCGTTGTTGATAACACCCATCATGGGGCTGCATCTAACGAGCTAAGACATGCAAAATGCTGAAAATGTTCCACTGAGAGCGTCTTGCGGTTGCACTGAGAGCAAGTGTGAAGCGATTTGTGAATCAATCAAAACTAATCTTGGCAAATGAGATTTTAATGCGGCTCTACTTGAATTTTGTTTGATTTAAAAATTAAAATTCTATTCCAGTAATTAATTAATTATATTAATGAAAAAAGTTAAATATCACGGACTTTAAGAAACCCTTTGAGCATTGAAAGGACATTGAAGGACAAGACCCACCTTCATCCTCAAAACGACGATTCTTCACGGTGATAACCATAATGGGATTCGCGTTAACTCTGAACTCAAAATATCAATGGGTGGCTCTGTATGGCTCTGGCTCTGGCACTACTGTTCACCGCGAAGTCTGTTCACTAACTAACTGATGGATACTTGATAGAGCATCTGCCAGTACTATACGCAAATAGTCAGATCATCTAACCAGCATCTAGGCATCTCTGTATCTGTTGCTGTATCTGTATCTGTGGCTGTATCTGTGGCTGTGTCTATCTGTATATTTTGTTAGTTGTTATAAAAAGCGCGTGGCAGCGTGCCACACATACCCACAGAACCCCCAGAACCACCCCCTACGTACGCCACGGGCTACTGTGTAACGCTTCCAATTTTCCTTATATTCTGTATGTCAGCCACTGCACTTAAGGGGCCCCAAGTGCTGTAACCTGTCTGTAATTCTGCTTATCTGGTATTCTGGCATTACGTATGCATATCGCTGATAACGGCTGGTGGGGAGGGGGCTATCACTTGGTCGAGGCATGGCCAAGGGGGATCTACTTTGAGCTTCTGTCAGCTTTCAATCACCGATCAAACTGAGTTCGATTTATAGTCAGACGATTTCGAATCACTGTTGCCGTTAGCTTTGAACTTGAAAAGTGTTTCTGTGTGGGAAGCTTTTTGTTGACACGCAAAAAGCCCGCTGAAAGCTTCATTTGTTTTGGTTTACTACGATGCGCACCCGCTAATGGCGAAAGTGGAAAGTGCAACCGCAAGTCACGCAATTACAGATGCAATTATAACTCAACTAATTCTGAATTGAAATTCAAATTGTTCAGTGCTCTGACTGCTTCACATTCCCATCGATGAACGGATGGCACGGACGAATGATGGACGAGGTGTCGAAGCTGGACGTATATATTGACACGCCTATGGCATAAATTCATCAGAGCTTAGCCGACTTATCATTTAACACCGCTGACTGATAACGATATTGGGCTTTGGACCAGGGGAGAGACCGAGTTTCCCCAAACGACTTTCAAATGTTCAGCCAGCAGATAACGCACTCCAGGCCACTCCAACTGTCAGGGGATGCGGCGCCGGGGAACAGGGCCAACTTTCAAGTGGGTGTAGCAGTCAAAAATCGATGTCACAATAACCTTAGACAAGAGTCAATCACTTTGACGCCTTGTGCGTGGTAGTGCTTATCAGGTGAATTCTTTGGCCGAGTTTTTGATCGAATCAGCGCAATAACAAAAACAAGCAACAGACGGAGCAGGTTCGGTTGGAGTTAGATCCTCCTCCCCTTATATGGGGTTAGCGGGGTGAGGATAACCTTACCTTCTAGCTGATTTGTGGCCCGACTTGCGGTGCTGCCTGGAGCCGACCACCCCGGGTGTCAGCCTCGTCTCGTATCGGCTAGGCGCCTACCATGGCGCCTGCCCACCTTGCCAATTTGAATATTTAGTGAAAATTATTTAAATACTGTATACATATCCAGAGTTAGTTGTTTATTTTGAGCGCACTCGATTAATTTATGCTCTGACGGAAGATTTCCCCTGTTTTGTCAAGTGTTAATGAATTTGAATGCAAACACACACATTTGGCGCCCGATAATTACACACAGGGGGCAGGTAGCTCTAAATAAAGATTTTTGCGAGTCATCAGCTATAAGGATATCCGCTATATATGGGTATATGTATGAATATTTAATTAGTATTGCGTTTGTCCCTTTCGATTGGGAAAAGGTTTCATTCAGCTTTGGCTTATGTTGCTTCAATTTGAACAACAACTCAATTCAGCCGCCTCCCTACTGCAGTGGGGAAAGTGGAAAGTGGTTTAGTCAAAGCAGGAACATAATAGGAAATATGTATGTGAGATTTATGTTTTCGCCTTATACGACGCAGCCTGATATCGAGCTATCGAACGTATCTCCTATCTAAATCTCTAGCCGATTTTGCCGTTGTTTTAGTCGCTGACGCTGCTCATTAGCCGACGCCGCCGCCGCCGCCGGTACTCGTACTAAACTGGATTCACGTTAGACTGTCTGTCTGTCGCGTATTGGAGCATTCTTTGTGTGTTTGCTGCTCTGTTATACACAAACTCATTGACTGACTGACTGTCTTATATATGTATGTGCGTAGACACCCAAACAAACTCTGAATAACTCAGAGAGAGAGAGAGAGAGGGAGAGTGATTGCCGCTGCTTGGGTATCTGTGTGTGCTGACATTTGTCGGCTTTGCACTGGACTCAAATTTGCATACGAACTTTGATGATTTATATTTATGGGCTGTACGAACGCAAACAAAATGTTTGCTTCCTGTCTGAGGCGCCACTGCAGCTCCAGCTATTGATATCTTATCCACATCCAAGTCACCTTTAATTAGCACACTTCGTCTTAGGGGCTACCATTTTCAGATACATATAGTGTGCACCTTAAAGCAGATGCACATTTCACTTCTTAATTGTGTGTGTGCCAGGAACCAGCTGGCACCGGCAGGTGTTTCAGATTTAATCATTATTTTTACCACTTAACAATCAATTTTGTTAAATGTACTCGAAAAGCACTTAAAGTCTAATAAAACTTTATACTTATTAGAATTTAGATTCCCTTGAATCAACTCTAATCGTGCAGAAAGTCAAAAATATTTTCTTTGCTGAAAATCCCATTTTAAAATCGAAACTAATTTTTTTCTAATCTATTTTAAATAGTAATTTGTTACGGGATCATTAAAGATGCATTTCAAATTGATTTGGGCGGTTACCAAAGCTTTATCTAATGCCATTTCCTGCTGTTATCGACTTACTTTTGCCCTCGGCCTCATCCTCCTTCTTGGGGTCCTTCAGGTCCTGGGAGTCATTGCTCCCACCACAGCACATCAGCTTCATGGTTAATGTATTATTTAATTTAACTAGATCCTACTATTGGAGTTAAATGTTGTTCTCTGGTGCGTGGAGCACGTTGAGGGCTGGACTGTTGGGTTGGAGGCTGTGGGTGTTATTTTAGCACTTTTATGGTACGTTTTTCTTAATGTAGCGTGGCAATTCAGATTCAGCCTCTCCGCCCGCTCACTGCTGGCCAGCAATTCGAAATGATTCGATCTCGATCGAGGAAAATGTGAGCATATTAACTACTGTGGCAGGTTCCAGGTTCCAGGTGCCACAACAAAGCACAAAAAATTGTTACTGTTTTTTTTCTGTTTCAGTTCGATTTCGGTTGCGATTCTCTAGCGCTCGTCGGATGCTACCGTTTATTACCGCACTCTCGCCACATTTACAATTTCAGACCGACTGAACGCTGAGTCGCTGCTGGTACTCCATTTATACGGTGGGGCAGCGTCGGCGCCGGCGCGAGCCCCGAGCCGCTGACTGGCCAGCGATCGAGGCACTTAAACACGCTTCGCTCCGTGTGTCGGACATTTGGCGACGTCACTGAAGCAGAGCTCTCGACTCTGCCGAGAAATACCCAGGCCACTAACGCGCCCCGTGGACAGCCCGTGAGGTGGCTAGCTGGATAGGAGTACATACATTTTCGTACATATATCCGACTCAAATCGAATCGAATCTTATCAGAATCATCTATAGATTACACGTAGCACAAGAGACATGCCCAGGGCCTGCCCACGAGCTTGTCAGGGCCAGAAGAGATATATATGTAAGACCCGTTCAAGTGCTGGAGCCTCGTACCCAACCAAAGGCGTCTCATTGGGATGCTCTTGACACAGTCATATATTTGTCCGTAAGAGCCCAGAATTGATATGAAAGACACCCAAAGTCACATACATAAATGGGCCAATGGAAAATTTACGGCTACGGGGTTTTCGATTTTGATTTTTGAATGAATGAAACTTTTTGGTAAACAAATTGAATTATTGCTTGCGCGAGAGTTGCGCTCAGAGGGAATCCCGAAAATAAAAAACAAACAGAGAGAGGCTGAAAGCAGAAAAAAAACTGGTTAAACGATCAGCTGCCCTACTCGTGGGTGCCTGCCACCGAGTTCCGATAGAGCTATGCTATGCTGGTCGAATAATAGATGGCATTCCGAGAAGGAGTGAGTTGAGTGAGTGGAGCGCACTTGACATTACCCTGGCAGGGCAGAGTAAGAGTCGATCACTTTCACTTTCACCTTGGCAACATTAATGGGAATAGTTCTGAACACCACTCTCGCCCCAAGGCCAACACACACCCCTTCCCCCTACCCCACCTACCACTGGGGTGGTTAACTAGTAACTATGTGTTATTTAAAAATTCTTAGCTATGCATAGTTCATGCCTGGGTGATCCAATGGAATTCGTTTTGGTTCCGTTTCCCTCGCTCTCTGTCTCTCTTACTGTTTGTGTTTTGTGACTATTGGCAACCTTTTTTATATTGTTGCTACCAGCGTGTACTTTTGTTTAGAGAATAACTGGAATTCTTGCAATTACCAATGGATATACCACGTATGTATGTACGTGGCGAATCCAGCTTCTAATCTTTGCTTTAATCCTAATATTTACTCACTCTCGAGTCTCGACTCTCACCTCTCACTTTAGTACCATTTAGTGCCCCAAATGAAAGTTCGATCTGATCTGATATGAGGTGCAAACGAAGCATATAACTGCGTTAGATAGCCCCTTCCCAAGAGGTGACGCACTTTCAGACACCCATCAGCCACACGCTCGTCTCATGTCGCGCCACCAAGAAAACAAGTGATAATCTCGGGTCGACTCTAAAGATGCTAAACAATGGGACACTAAAATCAAACATTGTGCTAAACGATCTTAAATCCTCCCTATTTGATGGCCGGTCCGGACCGGACCCGCCACCGAGGGGTAGGAGGTAGTTTCTAATCCAATTGTCATGATGATGATGGCGTGCGGTCTTATCAAATGTTTTAAATTTAAAGCTCATTGGGGCACAAATCTCTGAGGATTTTATTGATGGACTTGTCACGAAAACAAACTTGTCTCAACAGTCAGTGTCGATTATATTTGATGTGCAGGTTTTACTCAATGCCAAGTGGATGTAAGGGAAGTGCAATACCCTTCTTATAGCGCGTATTTTATTTTGCAGCATACTTCTGGGCCTCCTATACACAAAAAGGATTAAGAATCAGCGGATTAAAATTAGATTAAATGTAATTGAAATGCTCTAAATATCACGATATAGCAATTCCATTCCATGCTGAGCTCTCCCTTAGAGTATTGATGCTGTCCCACTGGCCGAATGTTGTTTCTGATTTACAGATTTCGTACTTGGCACAACAAAGTTCCAGCAGACAGGCCAGGCCGCAAACGAAGTTTATTTGTGGATCAATTAATGTGTTTGAATCAGCTAAGTATAGTCTCAAATCGATTGTAGATTTATGGAAATGGAAAAGTTCCCCGATTTTGCGATTCTTCCGCTGCGAAATGATGCAGCAGTTTTTATTTAACATTCTCCATTCCACCCTCTACAACACGTACATATACATATATCGAAATTCCACCACCAGAGCCAGAACCAACACGCTATGCTATGCTGGTAATAGAATTGTATATCTAACACAGATTGTTGATGCTAGTGTTTTAGTTTTTGTCATGTGTCATGGTGGGCTGGCAGCGGGTGACGGGCGTTGAATTGGGGCACAAAATAATTGCCAGTCAATGCAATTACACATCCTCCAGTAGATATTACTGGGAGCAGCTGTTTGGCGGACTAACAATTACAGTCTGGACATTTTTTTTACAGCACAGCCACAACGGAATAAACAGTTGTTAATGCAATTCTGATTTATTTGTTTCTTACTCCCTCTCCTCTCACTAGAACTGTCTCACTCTCACTTGCATTCCTTTTGTATCTGTTTTGGCTTCCAATCGATTGCATAAGCTCCCCAACATTCGATCAATGATCAAGAGCTTAGTTCTAACATGCAAAACGTGCCGTTTCAGCTTGAACTTGACCATAGACAAGTTAGTCTCGACTTGAGTTCCTCAATTCCTAAGTACTCGCCCACCTCCGCCCGCCGGCTCTCTTCCACCTCCCTACCACCGCCCCACGCACCACTTGGTCACATGTAAATTCAAGTTCAAGTGACTGTCCCGGTAAATTGGCAAGCTTTGTTAGGCCATGCCGAAAACCTAGCCAAGTGCGATGAGTAGTCGATGTTATGGTACCCGGCCATATGTGATCAGTTCGAGCAGCGGGTCGTTGCGCATGCTAATTGCCGTCGGATAGCCGATATTGTCTGGCGATTAACGCGCAAAGCGTTCAACCAGCAAGATGACATTGATTGGGCCACAGTCACAACCATCAACTTCCTCCTGTCGAACCGCCCCTCCAGGCCCCTTAGAACTTAACTATTCTACTCTTGATTTTTGCGGTCTCTCAACCAAACTCATTATAAGTTTCCAACATTTGTGGGGGGATTCTCGCTGGGATTTCTCCGAATGCAAAATTTATTGCCAATGAAATTTATTTATATTTTCATACAGAATTCGGAGCTGCTTTCTGGCTACGTTGACATTAGTCCATCGGCACCTTGTCGACGTCAGAGGGATTTTTTATCGCATCGATTTTATCAGCACTTGCTAAACAGATACACTAATTCAAGGAATTTTCCGCACCCCCTGAGATTTGTATAACCCAACGGAAGACCTCTTTATTTGTGGCAATAATAAAGCCTTAACAACGTGCTAAAATTAATAGCCATAATCTAATCGTGGACGACAATACAATATTAATTACAAATCCATCAGTGAGCAATTTAGGGCTAACGTCATAAACCCCATCGAACGTTTATCTGTCACTTTCGTATCAGGGCTAAGCAATAAATACGTAAACAACGAGAAAATCCTCAAATCGCAGCCGAAACAAGCACGTCTTAGGACTGTCGTGATAAGTTGGAATGGCAACAAGGCGTAAAAACCTCCATAAATTCATGGGAGTCTTTACTGGAACTAAGTGCGTTTCCGCTGAAGCAAACCTGAAATATTAGATTAAGTATACATTGAGAAAACCCAAAGAGAAGTTAAATTATGCAGTTTGTTTAGCTTATTTTTACCACAGCTTAGCTCAAGAACTTTGAGCCTTTTTCACCCTATCTAGGTCACACACATTGCCACTTTGGCTGTATTAATATTTATTTTCATAAATTATATTATTATTTTTTAAACTAAACGCCGATAAGTTCAGTCTATCGCACATAAATATCAATATTGTTGTGTTCGTCCACTAACCATACAGTATATAGATGTACCAGTTCATACAACGACAGTGCCGCAGCTGAGTTTTCAGTGTACGTTCCCAGGTCTTCGGTCCTGGGGCCGATCGCGTTCGGTTTTGGGATTGACCCCGTTCGGCTCATGACGTCACACGAGCCGACTGGCAGCAAGCAATTATGTGTGTACGTGTAACACTCCAAAATATATGATTGTATGCATGGAATAATTTTTAGCTGCCGAAACCGTTACTGTCTTGAGATTTCAGGTTACGTAAATGTTAGTGTGCCATGTATTCTCAAATGCTGTGCTTGTGTGGGTTCCACAATTTTTGGCCGCTTGAACCGAAATTGGTTTTTATTCCCGTACTCAAAAAGAGTTAAGGGGTATATTGTATTTTTGGTAAAAGTGGAGGTGTGTAACGCAGATAAGGAAACGTTTCCGACCCCATAAAGTATATATATTCATGATCAGTAGAGTAGAGTGGCGTCCCCAGAAGCGACTCACACGTTCCTTCTCGTTTCGATCTAATTTCTCTCATTTTCTGCCTCCACTTTCCACCGCGCAAATGGCAGAAAACCGTAAAATTAAAATCTGAGATACCAGGCGCACAGAAATCAGAGGAAGGTCGCTGCTTTTTTTAAATTCTCGTTTTTTTCTTATTTCTCTTTGTATTTCGTTGCTCTCTCTTTTCGCTCTAATTTTTCTCGTTTTCTGCCTCCACTTTCCACCGCTCAAATGACAGAAAACCGTTAAATTCAAATCTGAAATACCAGGCGCACAGAAATCAGCAGAAGGTCGCTGCTTTTTTAATTTCTCTTTTTTTCTTGTTTCTCTTTGTATTTCTTTGCTCTCTCTTTTCGCTCTAATTTTTCTCACTTTCTGCCTCCACTTTCCACCGCTCAAATGGCAGAAAACCGTTAAATTCAAATCTGAAATACCAGGCGCACAGAAATCAGCAGAAGGTCGCTGCTTTTTTAATTTCTCTTTTTTTCTTGTTTCTCTTTGTATTTCTTTGCTCTCTCTTTTTCGCTCTAATTTTTCTCACTTTCTGCCTCCACTTTCCACCGCTCAATTGGCAGAAAACCGTTAAATTCAAATCTGAAATACCAGGCGCAC